TATTTCATACACCACACGTTGGTAAAACATATCTTATCTTCTGAATGCGAGATTATAATACTATTTGTCACGTATGTAATCATATCCTGGAGTTTCACGCATGACCCCTAACATTTATACGTCGGATTACTTTCAGGGGGTATTGTTGTCCTGCCACATGAATTATATATCGATGAGGCGTCGTTTTTAAACTACAATGCAAACTCTATGATTTTAGAAAAATACAAAGAATTAAACGATACACTTCAATTTATAGTAAATGTGTAGAAAGTGGCAGCATATGTTACCGCTGAGGGCGGGCATATGTCCTATTTACGGCGTCCTTTCGCAATCAATACTATTAATAATAATCGATGCTATCCAAATATTAAATATTGTTTACTGGTGTAGTCGTTCCAAATTTAGTATAAAGCAATTTCCCGCCACACACAGATATACACGATTTGACATTTGCGAAAAACGTGACACGTGACAAAAATAAGGAATGCCGTTTGTGCGTTAATTTATGTCATATTTTATGACTTTTCCATAATATATGTAACAAACTAATACCAATTAACATTACTTACAAATAATTGCTTTTTACGGCAATTATTCATATATGATACATTTCCACGTATTGCTAAATGTTAAACTAGTAAACATGTGTGTACTGTCTACTGACACCATAATATACATTTCTTGAAAATCCATTATTAGCAATCAATTATTTCGTATGGCTAATATATTACATAAACCATGGGGCGTGATACAATTTACATTGTAGTAAAACATACATATAAAATTATGTATGTCATTTTTGGCATTACATATATTCTAATAAAGAGATTTATTCAATTATTTACGCTTTAGATATTTGTAAATAATCCATTAGATTTAAAAGGATATGTCTAGCTGCATTAAATATAAATAACGGCATGTGGGAGTCAGTGGGCAATAGCAGCACGATATTATCGAGATTTTATAATGGGATTCAAAATAGCGTAGTAACCTTAATTTGACCTGATAGCTGTATGCGAAGATTTTATACACGGTGATCTTGGTAACTCGAGGGAGCAATAGCGTTGATAACAGCCGGATGTCATAACATTTGTAATGCATCAAATTCATTAAACTTGTATTACCCGGAAGGGGATGATACAATTTAATTTAATTTTAAAATCAAAGTTGTAATGTCATTCCGTTATATATGATAACAGTGTATTATCGATGGATATTTCCAGTGTACTCGTATCACAACAGCTTACTTGTGTATACACCTTTTTATGGGCAAAGTAAAATGTTGTGTCTTAACAACATCTTAACACTAGTCTGTTTGATGTGCGGGAATCCAAACACGAGTACACAATCAACTACGCCAAGATATTCCGTTATGTGTGACGATTTTACGCCAGTAATAAGCGATATCGGTCACGCGTAAATGAAACTAGAAAAAAACATCGGTAAAACAGGTAAAAGTACCCTATACCAAGTGAATTGCGTAGTGAAAATTTTAAAATCTAATACGTGTATTCAAGTTGCGAAAACATAAAAGCACCATATACCGACAGAATTAAGTTGTGAACAAACTTGAAACTAATGTATATGTCTGAGTATGTATCTGGGTTATTGACGTCATTGTTTGACTTGTGCGCTGTCATCAGAATGTATCAAAACGGGTTGATCCTACAGTGAACTCATTATATTTCGTCGGCTCAGTACTAAGATATGCTCGTGCATGCGTAGAGTTCTTTGAAACCAGTTGTAAGGTTATATATCAATAACAAATCCATAAATCATTTAGGGACGACGTCAAAAGATCGATGTCGGATAAAAAACTTAATTCCTTTAGTTTTTTTCCAAACCCCCCTACCCCCCACTGAAACTTAATTGATAAATATTGGTCATGGTGTTAGACTACATTAACCATTAAATACAAATTGATAATCGGACAGTAGTATTGCATAGCAGTTGGTTGTCGGGTGGGTGTAAACATTTTTACAAATGCACCTCATTTGACGCAGAATTACAGTCGAACCAAACCATTTTTCTGTTTTTTCCCTTTTCGGTTATTTCTGTCCATGATTGGATAGAAAAAAAACGAACTACAAATACTCCAAGATTTTTTTGACTTCATTAAAAAATAAAATCGTTTTTGTAGGATGGAAACTTTTTGAGGTCAAAACCCCCCACCCCCAAACTAAAGAAAATAGGTTTTTCATCCGACCTCGATCTTTTGACGTCGTCCCTTAGAATGACATCTTGTGTTATTAATAATGTCAACGGAAGTGTCTACGGTTGGGTTAATGTTGGGAATATGGTCATTACTATGTTATTGACTAGTACAACTTTAGAGGGCGGGATTTATGTCAGTGTCTTCTATATTGTAACATATTGTATTTTTCCGCTGGTAGTTGACATAAAGAGAAGGAGTTTTTGAAGCGTGGATGACCAGCTCTGTCCAGAGCATACATTATAGACTGGACCTCTTGAGCTGTGTGTAGTTATTGGAATGAGCTGGTTTTATTCACAAGAAGGTACCTAGTATTGAAAAGATAGACCCAAAAACTGTCGTTAGCGACCTACGTGACAACAGCACGACATTTAGAGGGCGGTAGTCGTCGCGCCACGCCCTGTTCGATATGGGACTCATAGCGACGTACACAACGGGTGTAAAATACATTGTTTATTTACCTGAAATTCGAACACGCGCTGCGCGACGACCACCGCGCTTTAAGCGTCACAATATGCCCCCATTCTATACAAACCTATATTAACCTTATATTATATTATCTTATGTAATAAATTGTCACTAATATCTTAGATGTTAAGGCTTTTTTAACGGCAATTGTTGACGGTCGGACGAATTACAGTTAATTAGTATAATGTGATCAGCTTTGTTGCTGTGGCACCCTCGATGACAGCGGAGCTAAAAAGTTAAATACTAGTATTCTAGTCGTAAATAAAAAAAACATGTTATAATCAATGGTTGTCAATAAAATAAGGTAAAAGTATAAAATTATTATATATATAGCCAGTCAATCCTAATCAAGCAATACAACAACGTATTCGACATGTTCCCATTGCTACGCAAATGGTGTTTGGCTGAGTATGTACATTCAATATTATTTTATCAAAATGACTTACAACAAACCATGATTATCCTTGTTTCGTCATGTATAGTATATTTCTATTATTTTATCTTTAAACACACTGTTTTGGCACCAGGACTTTTATTTGTCACTATAATACTTATTTTAATAACTTGATTCTAAATGACGTGATCATGTGCATCAGTTTTACTATGCTTATCTGCTAAAGTAATGTGCCATTTACGTTCGAAGTAAACAGGACAGTCCAAAATATTTCGACTTTTACAATGATATGTTGGCATTAATATCTACACGTTGTGCAAGTGTCCTCGTCAAGCATTGTTCTTAGTAGAACATCGGGAAGTATATCACACCGGAACTAATATCGTATGTTAACGTGTAACAATAATTTCTGACTTGATTCGTGCATGCGGGTCACACATACCCAGAAGATTTGTGGCAGCGGAAGAATGTTGCATTGAAATGCTTGCAGGAAAACGCCCTCTATCAGTGCCTTTATGAGCGCAGGTGTAATGCATTTCATGTGCTGAGATTAATCATGGTGTACAACAGTAATTCAACGGTAGCAGTTGAACGGGTATAACAGAGAATTATTCAATGTTCGATATTGTTTGATTCTTAAACACAATTTATCACATACATATAAAAATGTAAAATGTAATTGGGTATTTGTTTTATCTGTAAAGTGTAAAAACCTATTTTTTACTGTAAATGGAACTTTTCTGTAAAAATGTAATATGCTTTTTTTACAAGCGATCCTTCCCCCCTGCCCAACTTCTCTAAACGGTAGTTCCAGCGAATGTGAACGCAATGAAGTATAACAATTTGAGTCTTGACCATCGCTCCGTTAGTAGACAAACAGTGAACTGAACCAACTTATTGTGTCGGTGAAATTGTTGGAGAGAACAAACGGTTATCCCGAGAAACTATTGACAATTGAGAATCCCATCCCGTGTGACCTAGGTGACAAAGAAGAACGGCATTTAACCGTCACACAAACATCGATATATTGTCCAAACATTATGCCTAAAAACAAAAATGATAATGGAATTTGTGAATAAAATCTTATCTATTTTTTTTTGCGTTAGTTCCTTACCAAAATCTATGGATTTTCAGTTGCACACTGTATGTCGCTATTTTAATCACGGGTCAATACATATCGGCTGAATATCAAATATCGCAAAACATTGCTGCAGCTAAAACTATATGAGACCGCTGATTTCACAGTATCATATGACGAGTGTATATATTGCCCAGGCCTTATAAAAAAATCAATTACAGGTTAATACAAACCCGAAGGCGAGGTTAAGTTATACACTGCCCCGACAATTTCAGTCCAGTTATATATAGAGTTCAGACCTTTGGATACTGTTTCATTGCATATTGACTTACATGTTAGCAGTTTACATTATGTCAATGTTACTACTATGAACTGTATTCTATGTCCTATATGGTGTCGTGCAGATAAACACCCCATCGACTTTTTTTCAATTTAAATGCCTGCAACATTATGTTTCCTGAAAGAAATCCTAATAAATTTTCTTTAATTGTTCGTATTTAGATGATAAAATTATACATGAAATAACTAAATGAATTAGTTTACTACGTATAACGAAACATTTCTAAGATGAAATTTTATATCCCGGTAAAATGCAGTCGATAATTTATTTGCAGTACGTAGAAGTCCTTATAATACTGTGCAGAAAATGATAAACGCTGAGAATGTCAGTTACCACGATTGCACTATAGAGGGCGTACAACGCAAAAACCATTTGATTTTTTCTGTATGTAATTGTCATGGTTACTTAACCAGTTCATTATAATTTACTGGCCTGTGTTTTATATTTAATAACAAAACTGTAACAGCGAACGGTTATTCTCTGTAGTGTATGGGAAAGTACGAACATGATGACGAATCTGTCTGCTCCATGGATGGATGATGGCGGTTTTGCTAACAACACAGAAGACCAAACCGTCAAACTCCCGTCTTCAGTATCAGCCCTGGAACGATATATCGAAGCCATTTTGCTTTCTATAGGTTCAGCAATGGGTATTAGCGGTAACTTACTCGTAATAGTTGCCGTGCGTCTGTCGAGAAAGCTTCAAACCAAGGCTAAAATATTGATAGCTCATCTCGCCATTACGGATTTCATAATTAGTGGGTTTGTGATACCATTTACCCTACGAGCAGTGGTACGTGATTATTGGCCATTTTCGTCTGTACTGTGTACCATCATCAGCTCGACGACGCATTCGCTACTCATGGCGACGGCTTTTTTTCTTTCCGCAATTGCGCTTAACAGATACTTTGTCATTACTAAACCAATTGCGTTTTACCGAAAAATGTACGGAGGAAGAAAACTGTACATCTGGTCTATAACTATATGGATTGGGTCATTCAGCTTTCCAGCATTTCTAACCATCATTGGCATTGGTCAACGAGGATACAACATCGATTTGAACATGTGTGATATGGACTATTCATTCCAAACCACACCAACGTACGTTAAAATAATGTCTATGGTATGTTTCCCTGGGCCCATCATAATTATGATCATCTGCTATATTGGTATTTTCCGGCACGTTCGCCTTAACTCCAAAAAGGTGAGGCCAACTGTAAGTACGGTACACGTACAACAATTGCAACACATGGATTCCGAACCAACAGGCATTACACCACCTCCAACGCCGCCAAGAAAAAAAACCAAACCAATTCCATCAAAAGAGATCAAAATGGCTAAGATATCTGTATTGCTAGTTATTCTGTTTTGTTTATCATACGGTCCTTTGGTGCTGGTTAACTTACTGGATCCGACACGTACCATATCGCCGTTGCCAATCCGTCGGATTTGTAAGATTTTGCCCTTGCTTAATAGTGACGTAAATCCATTGATTTACGTCTGGAATGACGGGGAATTTCGTCACGTGTTTTACTGTATTGTCACGTTTAGATTTCGAAAGATTCCAGAAAGGGTATTTTGGACGATGTAGTGTATTAAAGATGTCCGAATGTATGAGCACGTATTGATAAGGTATCGATCATTTTTTATACGCATCTAATCACTTTTTAATGATGTATTTAATAAGAACACATTTTTGAACGAGCAATCAATTTTCGTTTCTTTATATTAATAAATTAACAGGATATGGTTTGAACACACTAGTATAGCGATATGTATCTACTTTCGGCCTTTGTCACTGTAGTTCATAAATTGTTGCTGTACCTGAGTTTGTATCGTAATAGCTCTATTGTAACGCGGCATTTGATGTGGGCTATGTGAAGCCAAAATATACTGTCGGCTCAGCGCCATGGTAATGTGGATTTTGTCATCGTCATAATCGTAGTCGTAGTCGTCATAATAATCTGTGAACGAGTGCATCTGATTTTCTTGATTTTACCATTGGTCTGACATCAAGTATTGTATTTACCATTGTGTTTACGAAGGTTGTGAATACATTGTTCATAATTATAAGTGATTCTGTAACAAACTTATTACGAAGAAAGTAGAGATAAACAGGCGTATTTATTCGATGAGATACGCAGTTTCGGAACGCACCTCGTATACACATTGAGTATTCTGGTTTAGGTTCGGTATTAATTTTCCTGTGCTATTTAGGTGAACTGCAGTAAAGGTCGTTTGCTGGGAATACGGCGTGCTATAAAAAGGTTTGCAAGATCATATGGGATGTCCAGTAATAAACTGAACTATTTAGTGTGAACCTATATAATAGTCTTGGCTGGCTCTCAATTAATATCCGTATTAATATTTTGAAGGTATTCAAATGTATATGTGACGTGCGGCTGTCTCCAATATCCTGTTGGCAATCAAGGATGTACATTTCATCAGTACACGCAATCTGGTTGCAGACATTACAGTAACAAATCGTGTTACTGGCCAAATAATGTTCAAAGTCAGGAGGCTCGGTTCTATGTATTTAATACCATTTTGATATTGATTTACGATTGGTTGAATTTATTTCTGTATCTTAATAGGCATATGTTTCGGTGACGTCAAAATTGTATTTATATTGTATAAATATTGTATTTATCTGTTTATATTATTGTTTATATTTCTGTTTTTGTGTTGTACAATCAATGAATGTATGTCGAAGTTTGGCAAATTAGAAAGAGAGGTTTCAATTTAACTTTCTATAAATGTTCTAGTTTGGTATTAGTTTTATTCTAGTCTGTGGAAAGTTTTTTATAGTTTTATTATCATTGATAATGAGTCTATGGCCATGTACATTATGTTTCACGTGTGCATAACGAGTTATTTGAGTGGTAAATCATCAGCAAATCGCTTAAAGTTATAGACGGTTACGAAGCTTGGCCGAGAATTTAAGAGAAGAGAAGGGGCATAGAATATAGCCTTGGAGACACGAGATGTAATAGGAAGGCTGGGAGAGGTAACACAATTAGTTTGGTCGCTTAAAGCATTCGTGATTTACATGAAAACAACAAGTTGATCAATAAAACACAAACGCTCCAACTTGTGGCTAAATTTTTGATTTAATTATTTTCTAAAATTTAAAGCTAAACGATCTACATACAGAATATCAAGTTAATCGGTTGAGGCACTCTTTAGTAACGAATGCTATAAATTGTTGCCAGTTGTGAAGAAAATTCAAGATGGCGGTCAAAACATGTGACTGATTAACATTTTATGGGCATATATGCTACCTACCAAATATTCACTTGATCGGTTAAAGCATTCCTGAGAAACAAATCCTTGATGTAAAATGTTACCATGGCAGTAGTCACTGACTGCGTCGATTATTTGTTTACAGTATACCCATTGCACGGGATGTTTGCATGTGGTGGTTGAAATAGGGGGTTCCTGCTTTCTTTTGTATGGGTTCCAGTAACAGTAATAGTGTTGCCATTTTATTCAATAATAATTTTCAATATATTCTTCATAAACAAAAGTTGCATATGATGGCAGATATGTTTTACTCTATCTTACGATTCATGAAAAGCGCTTCACTCTGGTTTGTATTTACGGGACAAATGAGGACAGTGCAGAGTTTTATAAGTTTTTTTGGTCTGACATTAGGCAGTTTGTTTTAAATTCATTAAACGAAGCATATACTTCGGGATCATTGTCGGAAGCACATGGCCGTGGTATAATTACTTGTATCCCAAAATCTGATAAAGATAGATCTTTCTTTAAAAAGTGGCGTTCTATCTCACTGTTAAATACAGAGTATCAAATTGCATCAGGTGTTTGAACAGGTAGAATGAGGAAAGTGTTGCTTAGTATTGGATCCATTGTAAAAGATATGCCGGGCATGCTTGTTCAGCTTGATTTTACAAAAGCGTTTGATACGCTTTATTGGAATTTTATTGGCAAAACGCTAGATTTTCTAAACTTTGGGGAATCATTCAGAAAGTGGATTGAAAGCTTTTATTCCTCAAGTTGCGTAATTAACAATGGTAATTTGTCGGATTTGTTTCAATTACATGGGGGAAGTGAGACAAGATGACCCGCAACCCTCTATCTCCATATCTTTTTATTCTTTGTGTTGAGTCGCTTGCCACAAAATACGTCATTGCTCTGACATTAGTGGGGTGACCTTATGGACACAAGAAATTCTTTTAGGTCAATACGCAGATGACACATTTACCTTTCTTGATGATTCAGAATTGTCTCTAAACAATTTATTTCTGATACTTGAACACTTTGCATACATTTCAGGTCTCCAGATAAATCATGATAAATCAAGAGTAATTTGGATAGGATCAAAACTTGGAGAAACTATGTTTCCGCAATTGAATTTAAATTAGTCCGACAAGCCTTTTACATTATTAGGTGTACATTTTGACGTGGATTTAATTCTGTGTGAAAAAATTATTTTGACGATAACTGGGCTTAGAGACCTTTGACATTATGTGGCAAGGTGACAGTAGTGAAGACATTGGCGTTGTCGAAAATGGTACACATATTATCTGTGTTGCCTCCCGATGCCAGAAAAAACAGACAAAGTCTGTTATGGACGCTTTTTATGAATTCATTTGGAATAAACAAACAAGACAAAATTAGAAGACTTCGATTGTGTTGTGAATACCACAATGGCGGTTTGAGCCTAACTCATTTACCATCATTTTTTGAATCGCTTCATGTTTCCTGGGTAGATAAGCTGTCATCTAGCCAATATGACGAAAGTACTTGAAAACGGCAATTTCAAGATTATACTTGTATGGATTGCTCATGATTTAAAATTTTCAGTCAGAAACAATCCGTCGACTTTGCTGAAAAAAAGGCTAAATAAAGTTAAACTCTTTTTGGTACCACGCTTTTCTGAGTTGGTCTAAAAGAATTACATGTACAATCCCTTACTCAAAGCAATGCATTTGGTTTAATCCAGATATCTTAATTAATAAGCGAACTATATTCTATAGAGGTTAGTACCAAAGTGGTATTGTATTTCTTTCTGATGTACTGGATGATAGTGGCAATTTCCTCACCTTTAAAACTTTCTCAGACAAATATAACATATCATCAAATCAATTTTTGAAATATGTTGGTCTTATTGATGCTATTCCTGGAAATTGGTTTGTTTCCTTGAATAGCAGGGATAATGAAAATAAATTCACCCTGTTCCATATTAAAAGAGCTTACTCAGCAATCGTGGGTATAGGTTGTGTATAGGTTAAACCTAACAACTCAAACCTGTGTTGAAATGTGGGAGAGATTATTTTGCACAAATCTAAATTTTGAATATTATTATTAATATTATTATCTACCTTTCATTATTACTGATGATGTATTACTCAGAAATTTTCAATACAGACTGATTAATAGAATTACCATTACAAACAGATTTTTAAAAATATAGTCGATAGTGATAAATGTACTTTTTGTAACAATTTTCCTGAAACACTGCTTCATTTGTTTTATAATTGTATTCACGTCTCCACAGCGCGTCGCGATCTTGAATTGGCCCTTGATAATAATTGTAATATTTCAGTAGTTTTTCATCAAAAGATGTCATCTTGGGATATAATGTACATGATTCTAATTTAAATTCAGATTGCTGCATTCTTTGTTTCAATTACCTTTTACTGCTGATAAAAAAAATATATTGTAAATTGTAGATACAGAATATAAAGCCATCTTTTGTAAATTTATGTAATTATTTAGCCAT